GTCCAGGGACCTCAGATGGAGGATTTAGAACAATGCACGTAGACATTAAGCATTCATGTACATTGACTCATTTCTAAAAATAAAGATTTCTTTGGTTCAGTGGTTCAGCAAATTAGTATTTTTTTGTTGTTTTTTTTTATCATGAAACTTTTTTTTTTTGGTTCTGTAAGGGTCTTCAGATACTGTGTTATTCTTTCGAGATGAAAAAAAGTTACATTAGGTTCTTCATATCAGTATATTCTTTTATTTGTTCTTGTTTTCATCATAAACTCGCTTCATTTTGATCAAGACTTGTCATTTTGTGTCTAGTAAATGTAGGCTATCTTTATTAAGAATCTTTAGACATTTGCATTGGAAAACAAGACAAAAATAAAGAGGAAGATCATTACTTTTTTTTTTTTTTACAGTGTGATCAGCAGGTACAGGAACAGTTATTTCCATATTCTAGTGGCTGTGAGCAGAGCAGTTCAAGCCTTAATAGGTCCACACCAAAAACAGTGCCACTAAAGCCTTTGTAGAAGGTGGAATTACAAATATGACAGAGTAACGCTTACACTTACTACTCTCTCTCTCTCTCTCTCTAAACCTTTATTCCTATAAATAAAGGCTTTTCATTAATTATTGTTCTTCATTGTCATTTAATGCTCAGGTTCTTGCAGCTGATCTCATGATAAGGTGCTAGACTAGAGGAATCTCCTCGACCTCAGTCTAAACCAGCCCAACATCAGAGAGTCAAGGTCCATAATCAATCAAAATGCGGTGGTGTAAAAGCATAAAGGTCATCTTCATGGTTCTGTTAAGCACCACCATCTTTACTGTGACCATACATAAAGTTCCTTATGGACATTTGAAAGATTTGGTGAACAATAGCGTGGTGGAGCGGCTCCTTCATGAAGAACCATGTGCCTGTATGGAGCGCTGTTTGGCTGCGAGTGATGACGAGTTGTTTGCTGAACATTTCAGAAAAGATGTCCCACCAGTGCTCTCTCTCAATAACAGCGTCCTCCCTGACCACGTCTTTAAGTGGTGGCAGGTATTGGCTTAGTGTGTGTTTCTCATTTGATACTTCAGCCCACTTCAATGTACAGTAAGCTGGACTGTGTGCAATTCAGAATTTAATAGAGAATGCTTTCAAATTATGTCTAAGACATCCTTTTTTTTCATGGAGCCATTACTTCAGTCTTCAGTGTCAAACAATTCATCAGAAATCATTCTAGTGTGCTGATTCATTGTGGAAGCACCCTGGCATCTTCAAAATGGAGCCACACAACACAAAAAACAAGTTCTGTTCCATTGTATTTACAAGGTCCATTGTGTCCATTGTGTTGTGTCAAGGGAAATCTTGCGTGACACTTTTGAATTTAATTTCAGTACATTTTAATCCAAATAGTTTAGGTGTGGCGAGTTCCATTCATATTCACACTGAATAGAAGTCAGTTCTTTAAATTATTGACTGTAAAAGGAGAACAAGGAAGAATATGTGTATTTATTTAAAATATGAAATGTAGATAATACTACAGTTAGTACACTACACTACAGTACACTGGTTAATTTTTTTCTGGACAAAAACAAAAAAAATCTTACTGACCTCAAAGTTTTGAATGGTAGTAAATATGCATCTTTTAACTAATTAGCTACTGTAATGTCATTAGTGTTAGTTTACATAAAATGTTCATGTTGATTGTTTTTTTATTCTGGTTTCATGCTGATGGTAGAAGTGTACTTTCCCGAGTCACTGATTCTTTTTTAATCTATTCACAGTCTCTACAATCTTCAAGGAGCAAAACTAATTACTCCCAAGTGATTAAGGAGCTGTTTTCTGTCATTCCTGGAGAGGAACGATACAGAGATGTACCGCTGTCGAACCTGTGCTGTGGTGGGGAACTCTGGGAACCTTTTAGGATCACACTATGGTCCTGTTATAGATGTAAGGATGGATTTTACCAAGACTGAATTCATGATACCTATCCTGTAATAAAACAATACAATTCACTAATCTGAGGAGAGGACCTGCGAGAAAGAGCGCAGGACAACACCTGGCTCAACCTCCTCTCTTCCCCCCCATTCTGAGTTCCTGAATCCTCACGCCCTCTTCTTCCCCTCAGGCCATGCAAACCTCACAAATCTACAGTCCTTAGTTGTTTGATGTGACATCCATGTAAATACTTCTGGTGTGACTGGTAGGTTGGTTTCACTCCCACGTCAATAGAACAGATAAGAACAAAGAAAATAAAACCTGTTCTGCTGTTGTGGGAGATGCCCCAATAAAGATCTTTGTTAACCATTTGTTTTGATCCCCAAAACCAGGCGTGTGACCCTTTGGGGCACGAGAAAAGGTCCAGCAAAAGCTGCATAAATATCTGGGTGCTAAATGTTTACAGTCCTTTTGTCAAGACTTGGGTATTTAAAGGGATTTGGAAAACCACTCAGGGAAGCATCTGTATTCAGAACTTCCCACACAATTGCTGTGTGTCTCTCTAGATTTGCCAGGTATGCTGACTCTTTGAAATTGTGTTTTGTATTTTCTGCTGATCAAGTTGTGTGATGTATTGGTACACTTTTTGTATGAGTGAGCAGTAGGCAACCGACAAAAAGGTATTAGTTAACTTATTACACCCTCTGACTAAGATTAGACTGGCTAGTTTGCGTCGTTGAGTTTACCGCAAACCCGGGGCGCGTATCTCTGAACGGCATTGGGTCCTTGATGAACGAATAATTTAAAGTGTGGGATACCCAGAAAATCAAATATCTAAATTAAAATACAACTAATCTTAGGATCAGCTATTAAAGCAGGAATACTGTAAATTCGAAGAGTCATTTAAAGTTGGAGTCAGATTAAATTATACACGGAGTCAGAATTAAAATTAGAAACCAAATTTTAATAAATAAAGGTGATTGTTACAGAAGCGCCAGAAAAGACATACACGCAGAATACCTTCAACCAGGCTGTTGGACATTCTTCCTTGGGCCAACAGGTGGAGCTTACATAGACAACCACGATTTTGTGTTCAGGTAAACTTTTATTTTCATGACTCTTTATAGTCAAGAAGCTAATTATGATAGAGACTATAATTTTACAATTCTGATTTCCACAGGATGAATAAGGCACCAGTTCAAGGCTATGAGAAAGACGTGGGATCCAGGACGACCCATCGTATCATGTACCCAGAAAGTGCCACCCATCTGGACAACAACACACACCTGGTGCTGTTGCCCTTCAAGATCTCCTGTGGGTCACCAGTGCTCTAACTGATGGATCTATCAAACGGTGAGAGAACATCACAAAAACAAGGTCACATTTGACCACAAAATAAAAGGAATATTATTTTTATATTATATATTTATAAATATTTTGAATAAAGAAAATGAAGCTTATTTTTACAACCACTTTCATCACAGTTAAACAATTGTTTCCATATTTCAGGATGCATCCTCACAATGCTTCCATATTTATATATTTAAATCAGCAACAATGTTTTTCTGTTTACACGTCATTAAGCCATGATGTGTAAATTGTGAATATTTCACAAATACCAGTTCAAGGCTATGAGAAAGACGTGGGATCCAGGACGACCCATCGTATCATGTACCCAGAAAGTGCCACCCATCTGGACAACAACACACACCTGGTGCTGTTGCCCTTCAAGATCTCCTGTGGGTCACCAGTGCTCTAACTGATGGATCTATCAAACGGTGAGAGAACATCACAAAATCACATTTGACCACAAAATAAAAGGAATATTATTTTTATATTATATATTTATAAATATTTTGAATAAAGAAAATGAAGCCTATTTTTACAACCACTTTCAACACAGTTAAACAATTGTTTCCATATTTCAGGATGCATCCTCACAATGCTTCCAGATTTATATATATTTAAATCAGCAACAATATTTTTCTGTTTACACGTCATTAAGCCATGATGTGTAAATTGTGAATATATATATATATATATATATATAAGCAAAATTTATTTTTCTTTTTTGATTTTGAGGTGAAATGTGATTGGGACATTGGTCTTGTAAGTCATATTTTGAATGACGTGTAGATATATTTTATCGTAAATGAGTTGTTTTGACCTATTTTCTCTTATTGTATTACTTAACAGAACATGGTTTAAGGTTATAGACAAGCTACAAGCCAACAAGGACAAAGATCAGTATCTTCAGTTTTTTTTTATATTTTTTTTACAATAAACCTTTCAATAAAAGAGTTAATTTAAAGACCTTTGAATTGACATAATTGGGCAGAAGAAAGTGCACTTTGTCTCTATTAAATGATTTTAGCAAATGGCTGCAATATAACAAAGAGTGAAAAATTTAAGGGGGTCTGAATACTTTCCGTACCCACTGTATATAAGCAAAATTTTTCTTTTTTGATTTTGAGGTGAAATGTGATTGGGACATTGGTTTTGTAAGTCATATTTTGAATGACGTGTAGATATATTTTATCGTAAATGATTTCTTGAGTTGTTTTGACATATTTTCTCTTATTGTATTACTTAACAGAACATGGTTTAAGGTTATAGACAAGCTACAAGCCAACAAGGACAAAGATCAGTATCTTCAGTTTGTTTTTTTTGTTTTTTTACAATAAACCTTTCAATAAAAGAGTTCATTTAAAGACCTTTGAATTGACATAATTGGGCAGAAGAAAGTGCACTTTGTCTCTACAAACTTCACCAAAGAGACCTAAAAGATATGGAGATCAATGTTATGATACATAGACTAGGCATGAGATACTTGCATGATGCATTCAATGGGAACCTTTTAGCATCACCATAATACTTGATGCTGTAAACACTTGTGCAGAAATGTTTCATTTTACATCTTAACATTTCTTTGTTTAAAAGGTGTCAGAATCCTAAAACTTGTGTTTATTATCAGGTTCTGAGTGTCAGATTTTAGTTTCTAAAGTGGTTTATAATTGTTTTCTCATTCTTTTAGGTGATGGTTATGCACCCTGCTTTCATGCATTATGTGCACAATGCATGGCTGCACATTAAGTCTCGAAGATCTTATCCATCTACGGGTTTTCTTGTGCTAATATTCGCCATGCACATTTGTGATGAGGTAAAGCTTTTAGCAGTTACTTTCTGGGGTTTGTGTGCTGTGCACTAATGTCAGTTCCTTTTGCTGATGTGTTTTTTGTTTTACTTTGCTTAGGTAAATGTGTTTGGCTTTGGTGCGAACAGTAAAGGCACCTGGCACCACTATTTCGAAAAAACACCCAAGTCTTTCAAACGCACTGGTAAACACAGTGGCGGGATTGAGTGTGAAACCGTCTTAGAACTTCACAAAAGGAGGCTGATGGATCTATACACGGGGTGGTGAAAAGGATAATGACATTAAGTAACACAATCATTTATTAATATTCACTTTTATTTGTGATAAATGCATGTATTATATTAACTTACTCTTTGTTCAAAATGTGTTTTGGCACTGAAAGCTTTTTGATAGCATTTTAACATTTTTAGATAGCAATGATAATTATTTTATGATTTTGCATCTATCAGTTGGGTGTGTTTGTGTACGCAAGCAAGCAGCAAACATTTTTTATGTAATTTAATGTAATGTTAAATGTAAATTTTTTATGTAAATGCAACATTTTAAAATGAAAACTGATATACTGAAGGCAACATATTAAGTGCACATACATAACATTGTTTTTCCTCCAGTCCTTTGGTGTTTTACTTGCACATGATCATAAATAGGATTGCACTATTAAACCATATGTATTCATATATTCTTTAATTCTCTGTTAAATTCTGAAGATGAAGCTGCAATCTTCACAAGAGGCATTGTAAAATCTGTATGATGACATATGTGAGTTATGTATAAACATTTGTTTTGCAGTCCAAGACAGTGATATTTAAAATCTCAGTCTTCACTGTTCTGTTGTCACTGAATAAACAGAGAAATCAACAGAAGACACAAAGAGTTTCTGACATGTGCTTCTTTCTTTATTTAGCTTGTGAAGAGCGCCATTAAACTCTAGTTTGCGTAGCACCATGAAACTACACAAAGAAACAACAAAACCAATAAATACAACTCATATACAGAAAAATACAATAATTAAAGTTCACATTTACAGAGAAACAGATGAGAAATAAGAGCTCACGATTAACATATACATACAAACGAGCTCATATGACTTTGAAATTAACTAAATTAATGTAACATACGTAATCTTTACATACCTCTCTCCGCTTTACCAAAGGGTACTACAGGTGCATCTCAATAAATTAGAATGTCGTGGAAAAGTTCATTTATTTAAGTAATTCAACTCAAATTGTGAAACTTGTGTATTAAATAAATTCAATGCACACAGACTGAAGTAGTTTAAGTCTTTAGTTCTTTTAATTGTGATGATTTTGGCTCACATTTAACAAAAACCCACCAATTCACTATCTCAACAAATTAGAATATGGTGACATGCCAATCAGCTAATCAACTCAAAACACCTGCAAAGGTTTCCTGAGCCATCAAAATGGTCTCTCAGTTTGGTTCACTAGGCTACACAATCATGGGGAAGACTGCTGATCTGACAGTTGTCCAGAAGACAATCATTGACACCCTTCACAAGGAGGGTAAGCTACAAATATTCATTGCCAAAGAAGCGAAGTACTCCTCGCTGCAGACTGTAGCGCGGTGACGTCACGTACGTACGTCACGTGACGTAAGGTATGTCTATAACATGCATGCGCGCCGTACGTACTGGCGTTACTGCGCATGTACAGGTTCATTCTGTTTTAATATTGTTTGTTCTTTTATGTAAATGAGGTGTCGTGAACTGGAGGATACAGAGAGAAGTTCCGGGTGCCATATTCACTGACCCAGTGCCTACGGTGCTGCGAAACATTTAAAGACTGTCCACCTGGCTATGGAGGGAATGGCAGGAGGGGAGTCCTGCGTGGGTTTTATTCCTTCAAAGACTTTGAGGGCTACTGCTCAGTTGATTGTTTTATTAATGATGGAGGTGAATTTCAGAACGTGTAGATGCAATTTTATTTTTCTTTCTCATGTGTCATGTTTATAGTCATGTTTATAGTTTTAATCTATATATACACACACAATTATATTTTCTGTTTTATTCTTTGCAATAAAAAAAAAAAGATCACTGTTATCAGTTTGGTTTTTGGAGGCACCATGCATAAAATGGAATGCAGACTGAACATATACAGTATGTAGTCAATTTAACTTTAATATACTTTATTGGCTTAAATATTTCACATGCAGAATTGCCAAAGTAACAAACATGTCTCATAAAAAACAGAAACATAAATCCTAGTACATCCCTACAACTTTATTCTATTCCTATTCCATATATAGAACACTTGTACATACAATGTATTCTTTTTTTGTGGTTTATATTTATGCATGTGTATTTTATTCACATCTTATTTTTATTATCTGTGTGTTGTTGTTGTCTCCGTGTACTGGAAGCTTGTGACACTAACAAATTCCTTGTATGTGCAAACATACTTGGCAATAAAGCTCTTTCTGATTCTGATGTCTATAATTATACTAAATAAATAAACAAGAACCATGACAGAGGAAAGATTAAAATAAGAAATATATAAGGTGCCATTAAAGTGTAGAGTAATGTTACACAATAAATATACACAGTGAAGTATAGTGCAACAGAATGTTAATAAAATACTACACGGATATTACAGAAACTGTAATTGCGTATAAGTTTACCTCAGATGATACATGATTAAAATCCTAGATATGTGCTGTACTACATTTTACTGTTTTTTCTTATTTTTTTCACCTGAGCGTTTTTTTTAATACTTATACATTTTATCAGGTATTCCGTTAAGTATGCGCATGCGTTTTAATGACGTGTTACGTCACCACGCATTGCAAATTACACACGCATGCGCTGTCACCACGTTAATGCGCATGCGTGTTATAGACATACCTTACGTCACTTTGCGCATGCGCGGTAAACACATACGTGACATAGATACGTGACGTCACCGCGCTACAGTCTGCAGCGAGGGGTGTCTCAAAGAAGCTGGCTGTTCACAGAGTGCTGTATCCAAGCATGTTAACAGAAAGTTGAGTGGAAGGAAAAAGTGTGGAAGAAAAAGATGCACAACCAACCGAGAGAACCGCAGCCTTATGAGGATTGGCAAGCAAAATCGATTCAAGAATTTGAGTGAACTTCACAAGGAATGGACTGAGGCTGGGGTCAAGGCATCAAGAGCCACCACACACAGACGTGTCAAGGAATTTGGCTACAGTTGTCATATTCCTCTTGTTAAGCCACTCCTGAACCACAAACAACGTCAGAGGCGTCTTACCTGGGCTAAGGAGAAAAAGAACTGGACTGTTGCCCAGTGGTCCAAAGTCCTCCTTTCAGATGAGAGCAAGTTTTGTATTTCATTTGGAAACCAAGGCCCTAGAGTCTGGAGGAAGGGTG